AGAGCTTATTAATTGTTTTTGCTCAGCGCTCGGTGTAGCTTTCAATATTCATCAGCCCAAGATGAAGGGGAGCTCAGAGCTATCGTTAAATATTGATGGGCCGGGGCGGCGCGCGGCGGAGCTTGGCGAGGAGCCGCCGGCCTTTCGCAGGAGACTCCCCCATTGGGAGGAGAAAGCAGCGGGGAAAGGAGCACCCTGCCCAGGGCCAGCTCACAGAGGGACCCCCCGATGTCCGGGGAGCCGTGTGGCTGTTCACGGGGGAGGGGAAAGCAAGAGCAGCCCCGCGAGCACCCGCAGAGCGGAGCGCCGGCGGCAGCGCCGCTGCACGACGTTGCTGCCTCGCTGCAGCCTCCCCGCTGCAGCCCACGGCGCCGTCACTGCCGCCCCCCTGGCCCACGTGGACCTGCACAGGCCAAACTGGAGCCAGAATCTCCCCAGGGCTGCAGCTGAGCACCCGCGCAGCCGGACAGGGTGGTCGTGGTCCCCACAGCCCTGCCTCACTGGGAAGCAGCTCGGAGCTTGCAAAGAGGCAGGAGGACACGTTACCGTGGGTCTGGTGCAGCAAGTGCTGCCACGGCCAACACCAGCATCCCTGACCACATCCCTGGAGGACCCCAAGCCAGGGCAGGCCGCCACGCACGCGCCAGCTGGCAGAGTTGGCCTGCAGGAACCACAAGAGCCCCCTAATGACCCCAGAAGAGAGACGGATTGCACCACGAGGCGCCCGCCTCTGTCCCCTGCTGTCACCTCCCCGACGGGCGCTCACCTCCGCAGGAGCAGCTTGGGGTGGTTCTTGCTCTCCAGGTTCTTCTCGATGAGGTCGGACAGGAGCTGCTTCAGCACCCCCGTGGCGTACTCCATCTCCCCCTGCAGCGCCGTCATGATGAGGGAGGCCACGTTGCCGCGGTCCCGCATGGAGAAGCTCCGCTGCGCTTCCAGGGTGCGGATGAAGGTCAGCCAGCAGGAAGTGTTTCTTGTTCAGGAGCTGCCCAAAGAGGGTCAAGGACTTCTCCACGTTTGCCTGTACCTGCATGGAAAAAGCAAATGCAGGGGATAAGCACAGGGGTGATGGCTATGCCTTGTGAGACCCGGTCCCACTCCCCTCCCGCAACAATGTGGTGATCCCAGGAACACCCATCTGGATCCACACTGCCGGGATGTCACCAAATGCACCACAGGGAAGCCACAGCAGATATTCCCACAGCATCCTCCATGAACGACTGGAGGGGACAGTCTTGGCCCTCCTGCCCCGCTCGTGTAGCAGTGCCGGGTGCTGTCAAGGGCTGCAAGGCACACGACCTCCCCTCACCTTGCCACAGCGAGCACCACAGTTTAGGGTGTCTTCAGAGGCATTTTCTATAGGCAGCTTTAAATTTGCTGCACCACAGTCTCTGAATGCTCTGTTTCTTTTGGGGAATGCAAAAGTGCAAAAAAGAAGCCATATTTACTCTGTCTGTGCTATTAAATTCCCTCTTTGGTGAACAGTCTCAATTTCTTCCAGAAGCAATATCTGTATAACCTGTGCTGAGTGCCAAGCAGCAGGACCATCACATTTACTTGCTTACAGAGCCACACGTGTGCACAGACACACACATGCACTTCTCCCGCTGGCAACGCTTCATCTCCGAGACACACACAAAATTGCAATTTTTCATTCCAACCAAGAGGAAAGGCAAACCTCATCCAAGACCCTGCACAAGGTGCCCTTCAGATACTGCCCCTTTTTACCACCCATGGAGCGAGTAACGCTAAAACACGAACCCCTGCGGACAGCACAGCCGCCTGGCTCTGGGGTATGAACTCAACTTCAGATAGGGAAGCAAGCAACAGCAGAAACCCAGGTCTCCACCACTCTAGGCATGGACTGAAACATTCCCCTTACTTCTGAGGCAGCCAAGGTCGTATTTCAGGATGTACCTGGTTCTGAACTGCCCGGCAGGGACTGGACTGGGCTCCTTTCATCCCTGCATTGCCTTCATTAGCCCAGCTCTGGTCAGCAGTGACCAAAGTTCTTGTCAGAAATGAACTTCTTTTTTTTATTTTTTTTTAAACGCACAACATTTTCCCATCAGAAAAGATGGTTTCCTCTGAATAAAAGACTCGCTGTGGTAAAATGTCAATTTTAATGATTTTCTTGCCCTTGTCTTCCTGATTGGGAGAATAAGTGAAAAATTTCATTTTGTGTCGATATTTGGAGACAAAACAACACTTTTCATTTCAAAACATCAACTCAAAATGAAGAACAGGGTTTTGACACATCAAATCATTTCACTTCAATCAAAACTTTGGATCATCTTTCTTTAGTTCAGAGAAATTCCTCGCTGTTGCGACTTCCCCTTCCAAACAGCTGCTGTTTCCCACAGGACCAAAAAATTAAGCTAAATTTTTAAAAAAAGCCCTTTCTCAGAGCCCAGTCCTTGCCGTTCCTCCATTCCCACTGCACGGACGGAAGGGGCATAGTGAAGAGTGAACCTGCACTGGAACCCTCATGGAGAGACAAAATACGTGGGGGACAGTCCTCTCCCACCCTGAGGTGTCCCCAAAGGGAGATGGGTCGGTGACAGCCCCCTGCCCTTGGGGTCCCTCCATTCACTCTACTCGAGCCCAGAGGGTAACGACCCATCAGGAACACAAGGGCTCTCGGTTACCTTCCCCAGGAGTCTCTCTTGCTCCTCACTACACGGGATCTGGATGCGTCGACACTGCTGGCTCTGGCACCCGCGAGCAGCGGTGCCCCAGCACCACGGGCATCTACAAGGGCCCTGGTGGCTTCTTTGGTTCTGAAGACACTCCTGGAGCACCTTTGTTGGCAGCAATACCCGACCTGGCTCCACTGCTGCACTGAGACACAGCCAGATGTGCCAGGAAAGGCTGGTGAGGGGAGGCCTGGAGGGCTCCAGAGCCCTGCATTCCAACCCCAGGCACTCCCCGGGGTGGCCGCGGCCATGCAAGGAGCCTGGGGAAGGGCTTCCTCCCTCCAGCACCCGGAGGCACCCAGAGGATGGAGGAACAGGTCGCTTCCCGCCCGGAGCCCGGCAGAGCGCACAGCGCCGGCGCGCTGCCCTCCGGAGACGCCGGGATCAGGCCGGCCGATCCCAGGAGAGCAAGCGGAGCGGCCAGAGCTCGCTAAGCTGGGAAACGGGTCCTGTCCACCAGACAGCAGCTCTTACCGGGGCCGGGCCAGGCGAGGCGAGAGGAGGCGAAACACCCACCACGAGCAGGAGGAGCGAGCTCGGCCCCCGCGCGCTGCCTGCCCGCCTGGCTGCGGCCCCGCGCTTAACTTGCTGATCATTAGCAGAAATAAGTGAACAATACTGAATTAAATATTTAATCAGGCTTAAATTCGCACAAAGCAATGAACCTCCCCCCCACAAGCCTAGAGAGAAAGGGAGCTGGTAATGACGGTCTAATACTTGGCTGCGGATTAGCGTCTGCCTGAGCAAGCGCGTTTCCCTCCCGTCACTTGCAATAGCTAATGTTACACTCTGAGTAAAGAGACAAATAAAAGCAAACCCGATTCAATTATACGAAGCTTACACAACTGTAGTTGCTTTATTTAATCTCTTTTGGGTTTTTTTTTTTTTTTTTTTGCTCCTTTGTAAATTTAACTCTTAGTTTCCCAGGCAAGGCTGAGCCTGTATACCCCTCTCTAGAGGGATGTTCTGAATTTGGAGAGCTGGAAGTGGCATAAATCCACAAACTGCTGCCCCCTGCACTAACTTGGCCAATGCAAAACCGCTCCCCTGCAGTTTCCTCCCCAGAGCTCCAGCTCGGTATCGTTTGACATCGTTTCCACTCTTGTTCCCTTGCGAAGGGGTTGCAGCGCCAGCCAGATCCCACGTCAGGAAAGGTTTCCTGCTCGTCCTCCCTGTGCGGAGCTCCTTCCGCAGCTCTGCGGGAGCTCCCGCCCCGCTGTGCCGGAGCCGCCGCCGGGACGGAGCGCGAGCCCGGCCGCCCGCGGCCCCGCAGCTCCCACCGCGCGGACGAAGCGGCAGCAAATCCCCCTTCCTCCGCCTGCCCCAAACTACAGGAAAGCGGCAGGGAATGGACCCCCGGCGGCTCCCGAGCGGCCGTGCAGACCCCCGGGGACGCAGAGCGCAGTGTGACCCACGTGCAGGTTGGCCGGGGCGTCCCAGCACGGAGCAGCAGCAGCTTCGCTCCCCACGAGCGGGCTCTGCCCCAGCAGTGACAGCGGCTGACACCTCTCATTGCCCTCTGGGCAAAATTAAAAAAATATCAGAGAAAGAGCAGAGCTGAAGCTAGAAACAGGCTTTTGCATGGACATGATCTTGTAGGGGAAGTAGGGAGGGCTACTTCACACCCAGAGCACTAGTCCCTGGCCACCAAACCAAGCAACAGCACTGAGCAGCGGCAAGCCTGGAATGCAAAGGGAAATCCATGGAAATAGGGTTCCCACAACCTCCATGGCCGGGATTGGAGCGCGCCCCCCCCGCCGCAGCCGTGCTCGCTTACAGCATCAGCACGTGCGTTTGCAACTGGTAGCAGCTCGTTGCACTGTAATTTGTAAGCATGCCTCTTGCAGCAAGGCCGATTACTTCTCCTAAATACACTGTGCAGCCCACGTCGACATTAATTACTGCACCAGGTCAGCAGCGAGGGGAAGCTAAGGTCACCCCTCCTCGCCCCTCCAATCAAGGGGGCCTGAGCAGCCTGGCAGACAAGAAGCCAATTGCTGTGCAATTGCATGCACTAAATTAAACAGACGTGGGGAGGCCAGCCGAGGAGGGGGAGCTGCTTTGGGGAGCAGGGGTGGGTTTTGCACGGGGGAAATGGAGCCAGGGAAGCAGACAGCGTCGGACAAGTCTGCTGGAAACGAGCGGCTGGTCAGGCATCAAACAAACCCAATTGAATAAAGCAAGTGCTGTAGAAAATGACAGCAGCAATGATATTAATATAAATATTGATATTAATGTCTGAGAGCACAGTAGCCATCCGGGGGGCTGCACTCACATTGCCTGGCACGCGGCAAGGCGCTCCCAGCTGCGGGAGGACAGGCCAGAGCCCAGGCCCGTTGCTGGCCGAGGAGGTGGCCCAGGGGCACCAAGAGGTCCCTAAGCCCCTCTGCTCAAGCCGAGGCTCCAAGCAAGCGCTGGCAGCCCCAGTGCCAGCCCCTCGGGTGGGCTGCGCGGGTGCCACGGGGCTCAGGCACCCAACAGCAGAGCCCTGCTCAGGCGGGAGCGCTCCCTGCGCGGGAACGGGGCGGCCAGCCTTGTCCTGGGAGACCCAAAGCTCCAGCCACGCGGAGACCACAAGGGTAGGACAGGGTGAGCAGGGCCAGGGCCCTCCTCAGCACCCAGACAGACACATCTCTGCAAAAGCCCCCAGAGAAATGTCCTTCCAGGTGCCTCTCCACTGCAGAGCGAGCCAGGAGCAGCAGTGCTGGAAGGGGAGGCCTGGCAGGACACGCTGCAGGGGCCACGCCAGCTCCACCAGCACCTGCACGCGACAATTTTGGCTGCATAACCCCAGTACTCCAGCCTCCAGGTTTCCTGTATGCCTCCTGCAAGGCAACAGCTAACCAAAAGATGCTGCAAGCACAGACGCTGCAGGAGTTGCCCTTCTTTGTTATTTTTATCAGAATCCCCAAAACACTTCACCTCTATTCCTGCAATTTACCCCCTCAGTGCCTCAGTGTGGGGTCACTCCCTGTATCTGGAATTGCTCAGCTATGGAAACAAGATATTTCTGTCCCTCCCAGCCAAACTATTTCCCTCAGGTGCTGCAGTCCTCAGCACTGACAAGGGGCTTTCGCTACAGACCAAGAGGGGGACCATGAAGCTCAGACTCTTCCCAGCAGGAAGGGAGGTGACACTCCTGAGCACATAGGATAGGGAATGGCCAAATTTCCACGAAGCTGAAAGATGCTGTGTGGACCAAGGAAGGACACAGTGCTGCACTTCTGGCATTGTGACAAAGGCTGAATCACAGTGTCCCCCACCAACCCAGAGCTCTGGGCTTGGGGTCTCCATCCGACTCCGAAGCCCCCAAGACTCCCTTGTCCAAGGAGGGAACAAGCTACTACGGAGGCTGCACCAGCCCACCCCACCTCTCCTTTCCAGAGCAGGATCCCAGAGCCACATCCCCGCGCCAGACACGACGGGCACACGCGTTGCCACACCTCCATCTCCTTCAGCACCGGGTGGTCTTCTATTCCCGGGAAGAGAACCCGCATGGCATAGGTGCGATAATCCAGGAAGGGGATCCCAGCGCCATCCAGGTCGTTGGTCAGTTCGTTAATGTCAGTCTGCAGCTCAGCAAAGGCTGGTGAGGAAAAAGCAGAATAAAGTCACAGGGTTAGTCTGAGCCCCAGCCAGGCCTGGCCTTTGCTGCTGAGCTCCTGCACGTGCAGCATTCCCAGCCAGCCTCTGCTGCTCGCCCTGGCACTAGAGATTGGTGGCCCTTGAGGCCACTTCCAGGCACGCATGGGCTTTGCATTCCCCCCTTCAGTGTCACTGTCCCCATTTACAAATGGAGAAACTGAGCTGCAGAGAGGAGTGATGCTCTTCCAAGAGTAAATCAGGTGCCAGAACTGGGACCAGCAGCACCAGGTCCTGCCGCCGGCTCCCAGGGACTCCAATCCAGGATCCCAAAGGTCCAGCAGGCAGCTGGGAATGGCAAAAGGGTGACATGTGGAGGCTTGTTCAAAGACAATAGTACCTTGTTAGCAGATAGTTAACCACAAGGGTGTCAGTCTTTGCAGCAGATGGGGGACAGAGCCGAGAAAGACGAGGACTGAGGAACACCTCCCCCTGCCTCGTGTGCGACGTGTCTTGCCAGAAGAAAAGAAACAAAGCCAGACAACCGCGCAGGTGGCCAGATGCTGATTGGTTGTGCGCTTTGCAACACTTGTGTTAAGAAAGTATAAAAAGAAGTCGGTTTGGAAATAAAGTTGTCTCACTCTGCACCCCAGACTGAGTCCGTTTCTTCACAAGGTGCAACATGAACACAGCATCAGCTTCTGCGAGAAATGTTAGCTTAAACCACAGGAATGTCCTCGTTTCATTTTGACCTAAATAATACTCGAGAGCAGCTCTGAACACACCCAGCCCAGCACCTCCCCATCAGAGCAGAGACGGCTGCAGCTCCCGGGGGAAAGGAATGGGAGGGAGGTCCTGAACCTTTAATTGCACCTACAGGGAAAAGCTGACGGGAGAGAAGTCCTAGAGATGCACCAGGAAAAGGGGTGGGGGTAGAAAACCCTCAGAAAAATCAAATTAACGGCACTTTAAAGGGAGCTGAAAGCAAGGCAGAGGACTGCAGGCTCGTCAGCCTGATGAGAAAAAACAAACCGTCAGCTTGAAAGGCGTGCTATCTTATCTGTAACTAGTGGGACTAGAAAAGAGAAAAGGCAGGAAAGAGATTGTGCCTTTTAATTAAAAGCAGATCCTTTTATCTGCCAGCTGTGGAAGATGAGACACCATCCCCTCCACCAGCTCCCTCCCCTCTCCCTGTCACTACTGCCATCCACGCACATGTTTGGGGATGGGGATTTGGGAAAGCAGAGGGTTTTATTTCTTTTCCTTTTTTTATTATCTTGTTTCAGGTGCCTGTTCCTTGCGCAGCCTCTGGGCTGGTTGTGGTGGTGGTTGGCAGGGTCAGGGCCTCCAGGAGTCGGCTCCAGGGGATAATGGGCAATTAGTTTTATCAGCAGGATCATACAAGGAATTCTGTCCAATTTCACAGCATCCCTCTGTCACATAATGAGAGACCAATTGCTTGCTTGTACACAGCCCTCTCTACCCACCTCGTTCCCTTTTCTTGCATTTGGAGAAAAAGAGAATTCCTTAACTGCCAAATCCTCAAATTCCCCAAATGAGTTAGGTTCCTCTCATTACACAGATTCCTGTTCCCTCTGTGAATGGCAACAGGAAAAAGTGGTGGAGCACAAAGAGGGCTCAGGGTGATACAAGAGATTCCAAGATTTGCACGTTAGCAGATAAGTTAAAGAGTGAGGAAAAAGGCCTGGAAGCAAGAAAGTCCTGAAAGGTGGAGCTTGGAGCGCCCAGCTCAGGGATGCCCCGTCCACAGAGGAGGCCAAGCTCACTCACCCTCTTTGCACTCCAGGGCCACCCGGGACTCCAGGTTGTCCATCTGCAGCTGGAGGCGCCGCAGGGTCCGGTCGGCGTCCCGGGACTTGCGTTTGTAGGCGATGAGGACTATGATGATGATGAGGAGGAGCAGCCCGCCGCCGCCGCCGATGCCGATGATGGCGGGCAGCGTGAGCAGGCTGTCCGAGTAGATCTGCAGCGTCCCCGGCGAGAACTCGAAACCTCCGGCCTTAATCTGAGCCACGTGGAAGGAAAAGGGGCTTTGCTCAGCGCCCAGGCAGGGGACACGCATCTCCCTACCAAAACGCAGGGTTCAGAGCAGCTTTCCCAAGCACGCTGAGAACCAGGGGAGGTTTGTAAGCCCTGGGAAGGGATGGGAAAAGTGCAAGGTGTCCCCCAGAGCGTCCCCGAGCTGCAGCAGAGCCCAGAGAACAGCACAGCCCACCAGATCCAGCCTAGCAAGGTGGCAATCAGGTCCGTGAGGGGAGATGGCAGCAAGTACGGGGGCAAACGCCAGGGGCTGCCGCCCCGGGAGCTCGTCCGGAGCAGCCCGGCGCGCCGCAATGGATGCAGAACACGGGCTGCGGCGCTGCCGCGCAGCACGCAGAGCTTGATGTCTCACTCAAGCAACATTACAATAACAGATGGGATGCAAAGCGAGTTCCCTGATGGATGGGGAGCCTGGGGGGACTGTTCTGGGTCCCTTTCAACTGCGTGAAGCCAGGCAGACCTGGAGCGCTAGCACTGCTGTGCTACAACCTGACAAAGAGCTTTACTTACAGCACGAGCCGGGGCTGCGGGGAACGGGTGGGCAGCCCCAGAGGCCTTGGCACCAGCTCGGCCTTGGCACCCAGCAGGGAAGGGAGGCTGTTGGCAGGGACAACCAGGGCCACCCAGGGCACAGTAATGCCAGGCTGAGCATGCCAGGGAAGGGAGGAAGTATTTGGTCCTATCAAACACATAATTAGGGAGAGGGGTGCTTGGGGAGAAAGACTGATCCTAGGGACTGCTCCTAATAATGAGTCCTGATTCAGGAAGGCCCACTGGCACTGGGACCTTCAGATAAGGGACACAGCAGGGCTGGTGTTAGGATGAAGACAGGGCACCCAGTTACCCTGCTCTCCCTCAGTGAGGGATGTTCCCAGCTCCCCACCCGCAGCCCAGCCCGTCGGCGTTACCGTGACTTTGTGCTGCCCGGTGAGGTTGGGCGACTCGCACAGGAGCTGGGTCTCGGACACTGTCAGAGCGCAGGGAGTCTCCCCGATGAGCACGGTGTAGTTCAAGCGGGAGTTACCAGCAGCTGGTGGGAGCAGGTTCCTGCCCTTTGGGGGAACAAGGAACGAGTCTGCTAGTTCTCATGCAAGAGGGCATGTTTGAAAGATTCATCATGGAGCAAATTCATGCTCTCACAGGGCACTACTGTCCTGGGAGAGATAGAAAGTCCTCTCCAGTGGGGGACACGTTCCTGTCCCTCCACTGCTGCGTGCACACTGCCAAGGAGGGCTGGGGCCGAGGGAGCAGGGTGCCTTACCTTGAGGATGAGGGGAGAGCTGGGCTTCAGCTCCAGCATCCCCGTGGGGCTGAGCAGCTCGAAGACAGGATCCGGGTAGTAGACAAAGTTGGTGGTGTTGACAATGAGCAGGGCCTGGACGTTATCCATGATGAAGCCGATCTCGTCCGGGCGGTCGCCAACCTCTGGAGGGCTCCGCAGGGGGTTGTCGATGGAGGGTGCGTAACACACCATGGTGGTGTCGTTGTAGACAGTGCAGTTCTGCAGGAGGCACACACGGAGATCAGACCTGGTTCCTGGCTGCCAAGGTCAGGATCTGACATACCAAGGGACTCCGGCGAGCAGGGGCTCTGCCATGTCTCTGGACACTGGTCTTGGACTCAAAGATAACCTCACCCGAAGCCTCTAACATCAGCAGGGGCCACGTTCCACCCCAGAAGCATGGGGTAGGGAGAGACTCCTGTTTGCAATGGGAGCATGAGGGACGGTACGTGGGAACTTGCCGGAAACAGGATCCTTATGTCACCGCCCTGCAGAAATCCCACGAACCTCTACCAAGCTGCCATCCCTCCTCCACACCCAAGCACCCCTCATGGCAGCACATGGGCTGAGGCCCTGCAGGGGGAACGCTGCCTCGGTGCCTCTCTTCTAGTGGCAGCCCCTGGACATGATCCCATCAGTACATGATGCCTGATGGGTGCAGGATGCACTTTATATAGTGTTGCATAGGGATGGGATCTCTCCTCCTCGTGCTCCCACCCCGCTCTCAGCCCCACCATTAGCCAGCATCACTTACGTTTTCCCTTTCGGAGCTTGAGTACTTGGCCCGGATCTTGGGCTCTTTGATGGTAGCCAGGTTGGTGCCAGTCACAGTCAGCAGTGTCCCACCGCTAGAGACGCAGAGGCGACAGGTTAGGAGAGGCGGTGGTGGCACTGGGTGCCCAGAGCTCTGGGAAGGGTGCACACAGCATCCTGCATGCACCACACTGCCCCCAGGACCTGCTTATACCGCCCGGATGGCAGGACAGCTGGCAGGATCTGGCATTTGCTAACTGTGAATCATCTCAGCTAACGCAGGGGCCACGTGGAGATAGAAATCCTGCCTAATACCACAAACATCCCACTCCGTGGCTGCCTGGGCTGTGGACTGCACAGCTGGTGTCTGCAAGCAGCTCCCAAGCCTTTCAGCTAAGGGAACCCAAGTGTCTGTGACAGGAGAGCATCATTAGGGGCAGGTCTGCTCTCCCCAGCACGTCGGGAGTGGGCAGCAGGGCAGGCCAGTCCTTGCAGGGCTGTCTCCACTGCTCGGTGTTAGAAGCCCCACAGTCCTGGAGAGCTGGGCCATGGCCCTGGGGAGCTCGCTCCTCATCAACACCCTGGGGAAGGTTTCCCTTGGCACTAGCACTTAATGGATTCCTTCGCCTCCTCTCCAGCCAATTCAAACCTTTTAGAAAAATATGTAAACATTTTAAAAATCCCCCGGTGGGAAATATTTTAATTTTATTCACTGACACCAAATGTCAAGCTCAAATTAAGCAGATCCAAAGCACTCTCTGCTCTCGCCCCCTGCCAGGCTGAGCACCGCAGGCCAGGAGTTAGCAGGGACCTGGTGCCAAGCTATTCCTCACGCTCCTCTTGCCACATCCCTGGAGAATGGCCCAGGGTCTATTGCAGCAGCATGGAGGAGTACGGAATAGGACAGGGGGTGCATGCGGATAAGAGTGCTCCTGGTGTCCCACTACTTCCCTGCAAGCCAGTTGCAATTCCCCTCGATTCACCTGTTGATGCTCCACTCGGGATCGATCTTCTGGATGGTGGGGTCCTCCGTGTAGTTGTACTTCACCTCCGGGTTGCTCAGCTCCGCGCGGTTGATGTTGATGAGGATGGGGGACCCCCCGGGGCTCTGCCCGGGGGGCGTCCTGCAGCGGATCTCCCGGGCGCTCCTCCTGGGGGCAGAAACACAAGAGCCATCGAACCCCGAGGGAGGCAATGGGAAGCCCATCCAGGGGCTGGGCTGTTCTCCCTGCCTCACCCCAACTCCCTCTCCTCTTGTGAGGCTGCTGGGGAGGAGGAGAGAAAGGGGAAAAAAATAAGGAAATGAAACAAAAGGCAGCCAGGAAAGGCTGAGCAGCTCCTGAGCGTTCCCATCGCGCGGCTGCTGCAAACAGCAGCGATTAGGGCTGATAACCAGTAATTACCGCAGGAAAATATTTAAAGAGCCGCTCCATTATCATCCCTAATCTAAAAATTATCCACTTCATGCCTCAGGGCTTTGTGCTTTTAGAGAAAAATCCACGTTCTTTGGGCTCTTCGTGGAGCCTCTGACACAAAGAGGTTTTGGAGGGAGAAATTCCTCCAGTTGCCAATGGGAGATGGCTTTCCCAGTCTGCCCACAGCTCCCCAGCACAGGCTCCCTGCCACCAGGACACCTGAGGGTGCCACCAGCTGTGGGGACACACATCTCCCAGCTGCCTCCACCACCCGTGCCCCAGCGCCCCTTACCATGAAAAGGCACAGGGCCGTCCCCCGATGCTCACGGTGACATTGCTGCCAGCGTTGAGGTGGCTTCCTTCAATGGCGATCCAGGTGCCACCAGAGAGAGGGCCCCGGGCAGGGATCACTCGAAAGAAAGTGGGCGTCTGTCAAAGGAAAACAACAACCCCTGGCTTTGAAGCAAAACGGCTGATTTTGGCTGAGGACCAAAATCCCAGTCCTGGAGCATCCACGCAGGTGAGGGGATGCTGGGAAGCTGCTCACTGCAAGGAGAAGGTGCTGTTTGGTGGTAGTGGGGCATGAGGCTAAGGGCTGATAGTGCCAAGAGCACTGCAAGGAGGCAGAGCAAGGAAAGGCTCTGAGGGCTTCAACCAGAACCACCCAGGCCCTGCCCAAAGGACCCACACTTTCCCCCTGGGATGATGATGACGAGGGTAGTTTTCCATCTCACCAGGAAAACCACCTGACCAGCAGCAGCTCAGAGACCAAGACACCGTCCCCTAGAACCCACCGTCACCTCCCGCTCCGCCTGGGGCCCCGCAGCAGCCTTACCACGAAGGTGAAGCTCTTGGGTGACACGGCCCTGTAGCTGGGGGAGCAGTCCTGGATGCACACTTCCACCCGGGCGTCGCGCACCTTGCTCGGGCTGGCATCTCCGATCTCACACACAATCCTAAAGGATGCACGAAAGGAGCCCTCAGTGCCCCTGCACCGAGGGAGTTCCTGGACCATGGCAGGGACAGGGCCCCCCACCAGGCCAACGTTAACAGAGGACAGATGTGACACCAAGGTAAGGACCCAGCAGGGTTCATGAGAAACCAAGGAAGTGGCTGTTGGTTATTGCCAGCCCTGGGGAGAGCTTCCCCCAAACCCTTGGGCTGGTCCCCACCAGCATCCAGAGCCAGCAGAACCGCCTGGCTCCTCTCCCAGTCCCGTGTGGTCAGCTCCATGTTTTCTGGGGCCACGGAGCACACATGTCCTGTCCCTTAGATCCCGAGGTGACTCAGAGCACGGTCCCCACGCAGGGCACTTACTGCTCCGCGCTGATGTACTCGCTCTCGATGGGGATGCACATCACTTTGCCAACATGAACGCCCCAGCGCACATCCTCAAACTTCAGGCCCAGGTTCTCTCCGGTGATGGTCAGGCGGGTCCCTCCTTGCCTAGGGCCCGTTTCAGGTGACAGCTAGGAGACAGCACAGCACATCAGTAACAGGACCAAAGCAACTGGGTCTGCTGGTCGCAGCAGCACGAAACGCCTCCCTGGGACGCGACACGTGGCCACAGGACGTGAATCTGCCCCCTGCCAAGCAGGGCGCCACATTGCTGCCCACGCTGTGAACCAGATCACACTCCAGGAACCTCCTCTGTGATCCCCAGGATCCCCAAATGCAAGGACGGGGGATGAGGATACAGAGTGAGGACAGAGACTGGCTCTTTACCCAGTCTTCAACTATAATCAATGCCAGAGCACCAGGTGCCTGAATGTGCCCAGCTTTCAGGCGGGTCCCATGTACCTGGGGATGCCATCTCCAGGTCCAAGCTGTCCTCGAAGGAGAAACCACCTCCACTGCAAAACCAGCAGCAACTGTGCAGAGTCCTTCCCTCCCCTCCATCGCGTGGGAGGCAGAGGGAGGCCGGGGACAAACAGGTCTCGCTGGCCCCAACCAGGCCTATCCGCCAGCTAAACCCGTGCCAAGGCCAGCTGGGAAGGGAGGGCAACCCCTGCCCAGCGCTGCGCCTCATTGAGCAGGATGATTCCCACTAAAGCGGCCAGGTGTGGCCTGACAGAGGCAGCGGGATGACGGATGGAGGGAGAGGCACGGGCCCACTGCTGCCTCTAGCAAGGGAATTACAGGCAATTCTGCAGCGGGTCTCGCCGGCCGCGGGGTCCCGCACGCACCTGCGGCGCTAACCGGAATCGACGGCAGAGCTGCAGGTGCCCAGGCTGGGCACGGGACACAGGGGTCGCGTCACCGGCAACACGAGGCCAGAGAGGAGGCTGAGGGAAAAGACAGCTGCCGCACAGGGATGAGGAAGAGAGTAACTGGGGCTGGATCAGCCCAGCCGCACAGACGGGAGGTGCATCCTGACACAGGAGAAGGGAGCACTCGGATGCTGGTGAGACCTTCCTCTGTTCCCACCCAGAGAGCTGTCCTCTAATGCTGGGAGCCATGTCCTCACCCCCAACGGGCCCAAAAAGAGGCTCTTTGGTAAACGCAAACTCTGCAGAGGAAACCCATCTCTCCAGCTCCGCACGCCCAGCACCGGGACTCACACAAGGGACAAGCTCCTTCCACTGCCAGCGCCTCTGGGATGCTGCAACCCTGGGGCCCGAGCCTGCTGGGCACCTCCTTGCTCAGGAGGAGCTCTGAGGTGTCCTCCCTGGCTCCTAGATGTCACCTCCAGACACAATGAAGGACACAGGGAGACCTACAGGGATGGGTTGTCCCCACATGCCCAGGCCCAAAGGAGAGCATCGCGGTGACAGCAGCGCATCTCTGCAAGCCGGGCCAGGCGCAGCGAGCTCTGCTGCAGGGTTAATCATCATTCCTCACATTTTTCCGGCCTTGCTCCGCTTCAGGCTTTGCTGTTTGCCTAAACGCAGCCCGGCACAAGGCCAGGATCGGGGCTCATTAAGGCAGGCGCAGCAAGCGAGCGGGGCTGTTCTGCTCCCTAATTCGAGCCCCGCAGGGGCAGCCGACAAGGAGCAGCTGTTTGTTTGGTACTTTCAAACGAGTGTTAGAGGCTGCTCCGGCCTGTGAGGCTCTTCCTCCTCGGCGGGCAACCTGACACGGGCCACGCGTTCGGGGAGGAACGAGCCCGGAAGGTGGAGTGGTGGGCTGCCGCGCGGCGGGGGCAGGTCACGGCTAAACGAGCCGCGCAGGAGGCGGCGGGAGCTGGCGAGGAACGCGGAGCCCGTCCCGGAGCTCCCCTTTCCCCCTCCCCCTCCCAGCCGCCGGCTCCGGCCCTGACAAACACCACCGCTTTTTGCTTTTCTAATTGGTTTCACAGGGTCCTTGCAAATCGACAGGCAAATGGCTTGTGCGCGGGCGCCGCGCTCGCTCCCAGCTCGAGGGCCGGTGCCAGGCTGGAGAGGGAAGGGCACAGGGTAGGAAAGACCATTCCAGCCAGGAGGAAGGGACACGGCTGCGTGCGGCACAGCCCAGCACCAGCACCACCTGGCACGAGTCTGGGGGCTGCTTCTCCCCACTATGGAGCAACGAGGGAGGGTCTGGGTGACACCAGGGGACAGTGCAGAACCACGGCCACCTCCAGCCAGTGTCATCACCTCCGCATCCACAACGACGTCCGGCACCCAGCCACGTGGGCTGGGA